CTTGGCATTCATCAACTCCACCAGGCTATGCTTTTTCAACTTTCTTACTCCAAATCTTGTCTCTTTTCTAAGCCTTGAGCTTGTGATTTGCAATCTTTTTGGCTTTTTTCACTACTTGAAATGGTCTGATCAACCTGAAATTTCAACTGTTAATAGTTCTTGTCCTTCTCATCTCAACCCAACAAGTTTGGTTCAAATCGGTCGACTTTGACTTTTTCTTCATTTTTTTTTTTTACCAAGTCCAATACTTAGCTCTACTTACTTGGTTGCCAGAAATGAAAATATTCTTCGATTGACTTGAAACTTTGCATACCGATGCACTTTTCAATTCTCTATCGATCTGTGCAAGTTTCAGCTTTCTAGCTTGAAGTCTTGTCGAAACGTTGTGTCAACAAAAATGGAAAATGTCTCAAAAACCCATGTTTCTGACCTTTGGGGCAATATTTTGACTGCACATGCGCAAAGCCAATCGACTCCACTATCCGTTCCTGCAAGTCTGCGATTCCTCAACTAACTTCAAATGCCCCGTTGCCACGCTTCTTTACTTGATGCAAAGTCTTAGCAACCCAGAACAAGATGCAGGCCGATTCTGCGCATATTGAAATTTGCAGAACTAAAGTGACCATTGGCATCCCAAAAATACCACTTGGAACCTTGATCGGCTCCACTTCATTTTCCATGCCTCCAAAGGTGAAAACTCACTCAAAATGACCTCAGGTCGCCATCTATTTATGATTGCCGGAAGTTGAAATTTTGGCTACCCCCCCATTTTCGGGTCTGCCCCACCCATCCGTTTTGGTCCCATCTCTTGCCCTCTATTGGCTGAGCTTCTGTGGCACCTTAATTCAAAGTGTCAGAATCCAAATGGCCGTTAGTGCATTGTACGGGGTTTGAATTTCCCTCCAAAAAAACTTTTTTAAAGTTGGTCACATTTTGGCATGGTGGGTTCTAGGGCACAGGTTTTTGCGACATCAAGTTTTCTATTGAACAATGACCTCATTTTTATGACGTGACCTAACGGGGCTTTTAATTTTGAGTTCAAAACACCTTTGACCTTTGGGGCAAGTTGACGCAAAAACCGAGTTAGACATACCTTATTTTTCGGGTTTTTGCGACAAAAAACCTTGGTTCTAGACAAATCCTTGGTTTTTGCGACAGGTTTTTCGCCCTGTCACAAAAACCTTATTATCTGTAACTTTAGTCACAGATGGGTTTTTGTGACATTAAGATAAGGTTTTTGCGACAACTTGGTCGCAAAAACCTTATGAGTCCTAGCCCTAACCCTAACCCTAACCCTAACCCTAAAAACCTAAACCTAAAAACC